ACTAGCTGTGCCGCCCCCAGCAGACCAGGGAGACGCGGAGCAAAGCCGCGGAGGACGCGGGCGGTGGGACCACGGCGCGTCTGGGCGGTCCCGCCGCCCGTGTCCTCCGCGGCGAGAAAAGCCCCGTTCGTATGTAGGGATCCGACATAAGTCGGATCCATGTAACTCGGGGACTGCCTGTACTGGCTAACACAATTAATTTACAAACAATACCTATACTGAACTGGTTTCATAGTTAAAAGTCTCTATTTTCAAATTTCATAACTGACTCAATTCTTCATGAATGTCAAAGAAATCCATTCCATTTATAAAAAAAAATTCCAGACCAACACTGTATACATTCCTTTCCCACACACCTTACAGGCAAACAAATTAAATAGGATGTAGAATTACTCCAACACGGTCATATGCTCCAAGCTTTAAATCTTTTACATATCACAGTCATGTTTAATAGAAACAGCCCCAAACCAAAACCTGCTTCCAAACAGGAGGGCTCAAGATTTGGATCTAAATTCTGCAGCTAGAGGTTCTCTCTAAGAAATTCTGAGACACACTAGAATTCCTGACAGGTTAATAGTTGTTTCCCCTCCCTTCAGATATCAAATATACCAACACACCAACATTTACCTTTACAAAGTTACATGAAAGTGGATTTCTGACTGAAAAATTTCTCAAGAACACAGGACACAGCAAAGGGGATTTCAAATGACATTCAATGTTTCAGCACTATGCTTTCCAACTTGAAAGACTCGCAAGAAACACAAGACTGGCAGATCAAGTTTAGTTCTCTCTTACTTCAGGCCTGATTCAGCAAAGCACAAGCATGTGAGCAGTCCTTGGGTCTACTTGTGCTTAAAATTAAACCTGGGGGGCAAATGCTTTGCTGGATTTTGGACTTGTGTAACTCCCCTGATCTAAACGAAGATACTTTCAATTTACAGCAATTTAAGAGAGACACCAGCAGGCCCACCAGAACTTTTGTTCCAATTCAGGAAAACATCCCTATTTCCGGACAGCTCTTCAGAACATCCATTATTTTAAGCATGGGGGTAAGTCACATTGTAGTTAACAGGACTCATGCATGTGCAGCTGAATTCTGAGTTTGACTTAAGTGCTGTACCAAATGGGGATGCAGCACCCCCATTTTTAGACACGGTATCGACCCAGGACCTTAGCAATCATGTATTCATATTGAAACAGTTACATTTTTTGGGCTTGTATACAATCTTCTCCAGTTCATCAGTGTTCTCTCTGACAGTAGATATGACTTGTATGTCGAGGCAGGCACACAGCGTACAGATGTATTCTATCGTCTCCTCGGTCGTCTTGGCACTGCCCACTCCGACAGAGGCGGTTAAGCCAACAATCTGAGCACATATTCACATACAAAATAGTCACTTTCATGTCATTAGAAAGCAGCAGCCAGTAACATGACAGTCCCCTGACTGATCTTCCTCTTTGTAAAGAGGAGGGCAAAACAGGAGAAATCAAGAGCCCAGGCATTGATATTATGAAAAAAAAAGGCACCAAGACCCACTATGTTATATTCTCCCCCATTCCCAACATCCTTCTCAAGATCCAGAGGTTCTTGCTGCTCCTGCATCAGTGCTCGGAGAAACTTTGATTCTGGCTCATCTGTAGTTGATTTTGCTTAAAGACAACACTGAGCCTAATAATATTTTATAGCTCCTAAAAATACAAGTGACAACTGAATCATTGTGACCCAAATTCTGTGCTGCCTTCCTGGAAGGTTATATTATTATAACAAATAATTATATTATTATTACGAATAATTATTACAGTGTTACAAAGATTATATTTTGTAACACAGGTTTTCCTCCTTCCCTTCCTAACACTCCAGTCTGTGGTTAAAAGGATTAGGTCACATCTTGCTGACTAAAAGGAGACAGCTGTTTGGAAAGTGGTCTAGCCAGGAGCCTCAAAAGGAAACAATGTCAATATGTGAAGTCTCAGGATCAGCAAGATGGGGTTTGTAGGAAAACTGGAAAAAGATGAAAGGCATAGAGTTAACAAAACCTGAAGCAGCTCTGGTTAAACTGGAGCATTTTCTTTTCCAAACAATCCCACCAATGGGTTGTTCCTTACCTGAGGCAGCTGTTTTGCAGCTGAATCATATTTAAGGTTCAAGTAGCTGGTCATTAGCACATTATAGGGGTGATTGCCAGTGGTGTTGTGGCATTCATCAAATATAATCAATGTGAAAATGGCAAGGGAGGGAATGGTCCCATCTTTGAGACTATTCACAAGGATCTGAGGCGTCAAGACAATGATATCATTCCCTTCAATAACCCTTGCTGAAGAGACATCCCCAGCCGTTTCCCCAGAAATCCCTGCAACTTTGTACCTGGAAAAGAAAAAGACACGTGTCATGACATTAATATGAGTTACATTAGTGTAACTGTACAGCAGGAAAAGCAAAGAAGATGGGGCAAGTTTTCATAGGGTATCAAGTAAGGTTCAGGTTGGACCTCCCTGGTCCAGCATCCTTGGGATCTGACCAGTCCCGGATAAGGGATTTTTTTTAAGACCAGGGGAGGCAATTTCTGCTTTCCCTCTCTCCGCCTTCACCCTCACCCTTTGGCCCAGCCCACTGGCCTCCTGGCTGGTTCCCCACCTGCTGCAGGCTCCACTGCTCTGCCAACCACACCAGGCAGCCACAGGCCAGGGCTCCTGGCCCCACTGGGCAACCCCACCAATAACTAGCTATGAGTAGCTTGCTGCCCTGCTGGCTCCACAGAGTTCCCTGCTGCTGGCCTTCCACCGGGACTCTGATCCTGCAACACCTGTGCTGGACCAATGGATGATGTTGGACCAGAGAGTCCCTGTTTAGAGAATTTCAACCTGTAGTGACATTTGATAAGACAGATGCATTCAGGCCAAAAATCTTCAACTTAGACACATAGGCTGCGTCTAGACTGGCAAATTTTTCAACAAAAGCAGTTGCTTTTGCGGAAAAACTTGCCAGCTGTCTACACTGGCCGCTTGAATTTCCACAAGAACACTGACAATCTTACATGAGATCGTCAGTGTTCTTGTGGAAATACTATGCTGCTCCCATTCGGGCAAAAACCCTCTTGCGCAAGAGGGCCAGTGTAGACACCACAGTATTGTTTTGCGCAAAAAAGCCCCGATCACAAAAATGGCAATTGGGGCTTTCTTGCGCAAAACCGTGTCTAGATTGGCAAGGACGCTTTTCCGCAAAAAGTGCTTTTGCACAAAAGCGTCCGTGCCAATCTAGATGCTCTTTTCCGCAAATGCTTTTAACGGAAAAACTTTTCCGTTAAAAGCATTTGCGGAAAATCGTGCCAGTCTAGACGTAACCTTAAGGTTTGGTACAAAGCCCATTAATGTCAATGAGAGTCACGTCTCTAAATAGGGGACCGCATTTTCAGATCTACTGATCCCCTGCAACTTCCCCAACTGAAACGCATAGTGTAGGACCATGCATTTTGTTATCAACAGTGTCATTCAGCCATCATGTTGTGTCAATGAAGTGGATTATATTTAGAAAACCTCTCCCACTCGCTATGTGTCTGAAAGCCAAAGATCTGAGCTAGAAAAAAAAAGAGAAAGCATTTCCTGAACTTAGCACAGAGGAGCTTACATGCAGATGCATGTCAATTAGCTCCTGTAAACCTAAATGAAAGTCCATAGAAGGGCTCTATATTGTTGTACCTAAGTAACTGCTTTTCAGGGGCAGTTTTCAATTACATCTCAAGGACAGTTTGGTCACCTTTTGATTGGGTGTATTTTCATCTTCGGAGTTAAGTCACACTTTTTACCAGAACTGTACTGAGCGACAGTCCTGAAATGGTGCAACAAAAGAATGAAAGTCCATAGAAGGGCTCTATATTGTTGTACCTAAGTAACTGCTTTTCAGGGGCAGTCTTCAATTACATCTCAAGGACGGTTTTGTCACCTTTTCATTGGGTGTATTTTCATCTTTGGAGTTAAGTCACTCTTTTTACCAGAACTGTACTGAGCAACAGTCCTGAAATGGTGCAACAAAAGAAGGAATTTTGAGGATGTAATGGAATCTATGGTTTCTACGGTTTGATACTAGGAAGTGCAGAAACTTGAAGACCACATGTGTCTACTTGTACCCACCGAGTTCTTTCAAAGTGCTGCGTAAATACTTTTTTCTGTTGTTCATATACTGGAACTTTAGTTGCTAGAAAGACGATCTTCCCTTTCTGATCCTGGGACAAGTTTCGGAGATGATTGTCACAGATCAGAAGTGACACAAAGGTTTTCCCAGATCCTATTAGGCATCAAACATGAAAGCATAGAATTAGTAACAGGAGGAATTTTCCCACAGGTTCTCAGTTAATGTTTGCTAGTCACTGTTTCCCATAAAGCCACCAAACTGAAAACGCAGCTGTAACCATTTAGGGCTCCATACAGACAAACCTTACATTAAGCTCACTGCTGGAATGGAGAATAGAATGGAGCTGGGGATGCAGAATACTTAGCATCACTTTCTATTCTGTACTACCAAATCTGTTTGATACCAAGATAACATAAGTCAGTTTATCTGCCATATGTAATGACAGTCCTTTGACAAAGCAATGGATTAAAGAGAGACTGATAGCTCTGTTCAGAGGATACTGACTTTATTTGTTCAAAGGGATGCAAATTCCCTACAAGTTCTGTCCTCTTCTGTTTCGCAAATCCTGATTGTTGATGATTAACCTGGAAGCAATCATCACAATTTCATAAGAAACTGAAGTGAAATGAAACATTCTAAATAATGTTATGGATACCTCTTTAATTACCTGCCACAATTGTTTTGGCTTATACCCCATAATGCGCCCCCAATGCATGAAAAATGTGTTTCTCTAGCTCAGCGCATGTATCAAAACAAACATTAAAATAGTAAGAAACACTCCCCACCAAAAAAAGGGGTAAAAATCAACAGATGTTCCTCATCAGATTACAGCTGTTTAAGGTCTTTGTTTTTCAACTTTTTCCATTAAACCAGAATACCAACCTTTGTGTAACTATTTTGTGTATTGCTGCATACACAGTTATGCTGTGAACATTAAAAATGTTGGAATTAGTGCACAAAGAACACACAAATACGTCCCAACACATGGGCCTGTTACACTATCCAAGCTGCATGAGCTCTGATGTGTCCCACACAGCTCCCCAGCGGTCACTTTCCCCCCTCGAAACCCACCTTCTCTCCCTGAACCCTACAGTGCTGCACTCTTCCCATGTGACCCTCTCTCAGTCCTGCTT